CGCTGCAAGTCAGGGAACACAGAGGGAAAGTTCCGCATCAATAAACCAGCATTTTTGCTATGAGATGTATATTTCATGATACAGCAGTGTTAGACTAAATTAAACATTTACCGAAGCTCAGACGACAGCGTGGGCACCACCATCATTCCGTTGCCGCTCGGTTGCCTTCGTTGACGTGCGTGCTGCCAGCGCCCACGGCCGCAGAACCAAGCTCTGTGGCTCTACAGCTTGACGCGAACTAACACGGCTCCCCGAGGGATACGGGTCATGCTCCCTCCGCTTCTGCTTTGCTCTGCCACCTCATGGATGTGCATTAACTTTCCTCCCCTTTAATTCCCACGTTCAGAGAAATAAGGAAAATACCTGCTGCCATTTGTTGTATTTAAAGTTCTCTGAACACTGAGTACATGTAATTTTTCAAAAGAAACCAAAGACTGAAAGTATTTTTTTCATCCCCTCGCCTATTACTAGGAAAGTAGTTAACTTAAGACCCCGATTAACATTCCATTGAGCTGTGTCAAATGGTTCTTCCTCTTACTGTTACTACTTGGCTGCACGATGTTTTCTGCCAACTCACTCATGGCAGCTGTTTCAGTACAATGGGGACAGAAGAAAATGAATGGCATTTCAGTGGGTTATTTAATGGGAGCCTAAAACTGGCAAAACATAAAACTGCATTCAAAGATGTTGCATCTAAGCCTTCCTAATGATAGCCCAGGTTTTCGGGTTTTTTGTCTCCACTGAGAAATTCAGAGCAACAGTAGCAGCTTCTGCTTATTCTCATGGACAACTACACATGGACATGAAAAATATGCACTAAACATTTTGTAACAAACTGAGCCTGCGTGATTTCTCCTATGTACACTGCAGGCAAGTACAAAGGTAACTGCCTGTGGAGAAAAACACACGCACAGAGAGAGCTCGGACCTCTGCACATTCAGCCACTGACGCTGTCGCCATACCGTTGCTGAGAGGAACCGCTTCTTCTGCAGGTGGCCTGGTGACAAGTCAACGGTGGAACCAGGCTTCCAGGCAGGATTAGTAGGGGTGGGTAGGTGTGGAAGACCCTCTTCTCATCGCCCCGGGCTGACACTGCGGCAGACAAGCAGTCTGCGCACCGCTGCGTGAGCTACAGCTCCTGGAGAGATCAGGAAAATGCTCACGCACTTTCTGTATTCACTATCTGGTGTTTGAAATTAAATTAAGTTCCCTTTTATTTAGAAAGCGCTCAGGGATGGTCTGAGGAAAAAAGGAGACCACACCTTTCGGCCTCCTGCTGCATTGCATCAGGTTGGCCTTGTCCCTTCCCTACCAACATGCTTAATGCAGTGAAGGGTTTATTAGGTTGGAGCTGTGGAACCCAAGGCACACTGCACGCGTCCTGGAGCATGGTGATGCTTAAACAGATTTACTCAGGGGTCTGTGTTACCTAGACACAGCTTTGCTGTCTGTCTCTTAACCATCACTCCTTCTCGTCCATTTTTCAGGTGTCAGGGGGACAGAAAGCCAACCACAAGACAGCAGACGACAGCCCTGGCATATTGCCTTAAAGTGAACATGGTGCAACCAGGCATGAGCATGCACACTAACCTACCTGTGGTTTCTTACAGGCTTACTCACACAGGACGATGATGACAGTTTTTACAGATTTAGGCATGCTGGTTACGTATTTTTTGCTTTATTCTGTTTCTGCTTTAACTGCTGGGAAAATCAGCAGTGGAACGGGAAGAGGCAAGGGAAAAGCGAGGCCAGATAAACTATTGTACCAGCTACCCCCACTTCTACTGACACCAAGCAGCAGCCCTGCGAGCTCCGAGTAGCTTGAATGGGGAGTGGGCTTTCCATTTTGTAGCCCCAGTAGAACTACGCCTGCTGTTAAACTATTTTCACCAGCACTACACATGCACTTGCTCAAGCCTACCTCATCACTGTAAATGGGCCGAGTAACTGCATGGGCCGGGGTTCGGTTTGTGTTCACCTGCACAGAACTTGGAGAACACAGGACTAGGGGAGAGAAGTAGCAGGTCAAGGAGGAATCATGAACGTGGTAACCCCTACCCTATAAGGAGTTCCTAGCGTCTCTCAAACCACTCTCTGGCATGACTGAATAGCTGCCATTTATGCTTCCTTTAAACCTATTCAAAAACCATGGACTACATAAACTGAGCATTCCTTCTTTTTTATATAAAAGACCAACCGATCCTTTTATATAGTTATAGTTGTTCAAGACAGAAACGAAGTCTCTGACTCCACAAGGAAGAGGGAGGGACTCAATCAAGCCCTACTGCTAACAAGTATGACATACAAAGATTGGTGCTGTTGTCATGAAATATGTAATAATACTTACAACTACGTACTGATTACACAGAGTAAGGTGTGCAAAAATTATCTGAAATGTTCACAGAAATACTGTGCAGCAGTTTTGGTGCTTTTACTTCTGGAACACCTCTTCCATTGCTCTCGGTTGTCACCGATGATACGATGATTTTGCCTGCACAGCGCCAAGGTCACCAGGCAAACGACGCTGCAGGAAGTGTCATTATGCTCTGGGAAGCTAGTGTAAGCCTACTTTCTCTCGATGGTTTTCGTTCATAGTAACTTTAAAAGATTGAAGTTAACGTGATAAGAGTTAGACACTGCTCTCAAACACTTTCAAACAAGCTTGTGTTTGTAGCAAGTACAGTACTAATGGTTATTTGCATTCCAGTATCATTTAAAGGCAGTAACAATATGTCACGGAGGGCTTTAGTAACAGAGCAGTAGCAGGAGCCGCAAGAACAAGCTGCCCAGATTTCACACACGTGCCCAACCACTGCTGGTCACTCACAATTACAATTTCACCCCAGCTCCCCAAACAAATGCCAGGCTCGCGTGCACAAAATAAGGCATGTTCAGAGATACAGATATATTTGACCAACTAGGTTGTCTCAGTACAGAATAATTTAGTAAGATAATACACGAAAAACCCGGTAACTCTTCAGTTGTGAACAGAACCACCACTGCGCAGAAGCCAGGGCATGACTCCCTGTCACACCATCACCATTTGACAGACAGCACTGTGGGGCGGCTTGAGTTCCCTTGATTTTTCCTCAGAAAATTCCCACTAGTAACTAATAATTGGTGGTGAGGGAACGCTTGTGTAGCTGATGTCCGTAAGAGGGATTTCTCAACCAGTTTAAGCCAGCTGAAGACTCTGATGCTGCCAAAGGGGTGTGGAAACAGAAAAGGCCCTTCTTACAGCACCATCTGCTTATGTTGGGTTAGGTATGCTACCAAACCCTTTGTCTCATCTATAAAATATGGGTAAAACCTACTATATCAGAGGGGGAGTGTGAGGCTTAATTAAAAAACTAGCAAGAGCTCTGGGCCACCTGGTATAGGAAGTTAAGTGCAAGGTTCTGTCAGTTGAAAACGCAGTCTGCTAATAACTGCCATACTGGCATAAATGACAAATAAAAAGTGTGCTGGAAGGAAATACCTTACATTCCTAACTAGCCCATCAAAGTGCTCTGCTGCAGTGATGAAACCCACGTGCTGTTCAGTTCCCCAGAAGGTATATTCTCCCCAAACACAGCATGGGTGCCACGAATTAGGCTCCTGGAAAAAAGATTTTCTCTTCGGGACTTTTTACTGCTAGCATAGCCTGGAGAGAGACAGGAGTGGAAAGATGAAACAGGCCAAAAGATTATATACAAAAGGGTTTGACAAAAAGGTTTTTTTCAAACATGGCAGCTTTGCACAATACAATAAAGTGAATCCCTTGCTCCCTGCTATTACAACACCAGCCTTCGTGACAGAGGTTCTTATGGGAATTTTCAGCAGAGGACAAGATTCAGAAGGGCATGGAAATAAACGTGTGTCCCAGCACAGGCTGAGGCACGCTGGCAGTGCAGCCCCTACAGCCACTAAACCCATTCTGTGGTTAAAAAGAAAATGTGCAAGTCTTCAACCTGTACCCATCCACCTATTTAAAATGAGCATTAAAACAGATCCAATGTCAATATCCAGTTGTCCTCAGATTCTAGGATAGCACTAGCTTTATCAGACAAACACAAGAACGCAAAGGTGTAAGTACAGAAAACCTACTTCAACAGGGTGACTGAAAAGTGCTCCCTCCCTAGCAGAAAGAAACAAGCACACCAGAGGTCATGGGATTCTTCCTGCGTTTGTCTTGTGCCGTGGTAGCAGCATGAATCAGGTGCTGAAATGGTCCAACATGAAGCAGAATCTGATTTAAATGAACTGTACACACAACCACGTGCACTTTTTAAAAAAAGAAAAATAGTATTAAAATTTTAGTTTCACTTCTCCCTTTCCCACTTCCCTTTCTCAGTTGACAGTCAACCAGCTGGTTAACTGCTCTGAAGGTGCACAGTCATTCCCACGTTTAACCAGCGCTCCCAGCAGGGCACTGTGCAGCCATATGCTACACCATCACCTTCTAATATTGAACCGCAGCACACTGCCACTTCCTTACGCTGGTGGCTGCGCTCCGAGTGACAGCACCCGCAGGAGCTCAGCAGAAGCAACTGCTTCCCAGAGAAGCAAGATACAGTTGATAGCTTCTTTCCAAAGAACGCAGCAGGAAAAGGGAGCTGTTGCCTCCACAGAGACAAAATGACCATGATAGACGATGTCTTGATGTGACATGGTTCCTGTTGAGCATGGCCATACTTTACTCTGATGTTGCTCCTCCTATCAACACTTGACATAGATCTTAAAAGGATCAATACATGATCAAAATTTTAACCCAAAGCAAACTTTCAGGAAGCTTTTTTCAAACATGTATGAAGTGTGTAGGATTTTTCTTAACCAAACAAGAAGCATCCCAGTTCAATAGCCTACTTAGCACAGCCAGATGGTAAAAAGATGATAAAGTGGAACAGAATACAGCGAGCTGACATTTTTTGCAAGGTAGCTCCCCTTCCCTATTTAAAAATGGCCCCAACTCTTTCTTAAATAGCATTACTTTTTAAAACAAAATCACAGACAATTTTAATAAAGAACATAATTTGTAAAATATTTTGGAATATCCCTTAAAACATTTTTCCACCTTTGACCACCTCTAAAGCACAAAAAAGCCTTCAGTAAATTGAGAAGTCTGCTGCAACTTTTATGCAAGTTAATACCACTGACTACTGAGCAAGAAAAAACCCCACAGTCAAGCCTTCACTTCCAAGCACTACTTAGTTAAAGATGAATTACGTGACCTTTTGGCAGTGTACAGTGGAACAGAAGTCAAAGACGCACAAGTTCTTCCATTCTCTAAAGAAATTCAGCCTCGTATCTATAAGAAATAATCTTCGTGCTAGAATGAAGCACACTTTTCAGAACAAAATGTTTAAGCTAATAAAGTTTCATGGAAGCCTCAAAGAGGGCAGATAAGTCTTCTTCTGTTTGGGGACGTGGTGATAGTTTAGTCACTCTCTCCTGCAAGATCAAAGAAAAACTGGATTACACAAGGTTGCCAATAAAATCAATCAAACAGTAGCTGAACTATATGCCTTTGTACTAACGTCCTTCACAGAGAATAACAAGGTTTTGTAAACAAGTAATCAAGTAATTAAGGCTGAAATATCATCATCTGTACAGTACTTTCGAGAATGTATTAGTTTAAATTGCCTATAATTAAATACACAGAAGTGAGATTAAAGTGCAATTCAGTTGCAAAGTCAAGCCTTTCAAACACGGGTCTTGTCAGTCACAGATGTCAGTACAGTGGTGGGCAGTATCCTGGGAATACAGTTCTTTTTAAAATTCATTTGCCAGCATTAGTACTAGGAAGTCAATTTCTAGGGACCAAGATTTTCAAAATACAACATCTCTCAAAGCCCAGGAACTGCCACAGATGGGGAGAGTAAACAGTGCTTGCAACTCAGACTCCAAAAAAAGAGACACGGCAAGGGGTGGCAGTGAAACTGCTTAATAAAAAGCCTTACACTTTGGAATTAGAATGCAAAATAGTTGTAGTTGGTCTTCATTTGGACAGCGATTCAACAGAATTTTTGGGTGCTGAAGTCCCATCGACTGAAATGAAACTCAAGGTATATGCTTCACTGCTCTGCTTAACAAAATAACCACAAAGGCGGGGACGGCAATTGAGAAAAGCCCCACGCTGCTGAGGGTGAGGAGCCGTGCCAGTGTAGGTCTTCAGCTACTGCAGAAACACTCAGCTGAAAGGCCCTAACATTGATGTACTCGTACTGGTTGTGATTAGTACTTCTATGCTTTCAACAATCAATGATTTTAACATTTATTGAAAGATTAGGGAGAGTTACAAACCTCTGCAAAGACAGAGGCCAGGCCTACACTAGGAACGCGTTCTCTTCAGATGAATGTGGTGTATTCTGGCAAGACGGAGTTTCTCCTGCTACAACACGTTTCAACACCTCCTTTGTGGAAGAGGCCATCCTAGCAAAGGCTCTCAACTTTTCCCCTGCTTTTTCCCATGTAAGACAGCGGATGTCATTTGCTAGGGGCCTTGCCTCATGCACCAAGTGGGATACTGGGGAAGGGGCTCCTCCAGCCCCCCGCCTTGTGGGCAGGCTCTGCTCAGATGTGCTCCCAAGCAGAGCACACACTGCTGTGGTGCAACGCCGCAGCCGCCCCGCTTCCCTCTCAACCCGCAGGGCTGCAATTTGTGGACGGGCTGGATGTGGTTACACAGCAAGAGAGGCCACCACACCATGACCTTAACGTAAAATACTGGCCTAGCGTGGTGAGGAAGTCCGCTGTGAGATACTCACAGTTCGTAATCAGGCTCAGCACGGTTAGCATGGCTTGTGCCAAGTCTGAGCAGTGCAGCTCTGTGTGCGTAACTTTACCTACACGAGGAGCCTCAGTAGCAATCAAATGCTACCTCTTCCCCTACCCCTGACCAGCACTGTTATACTGTCACATCCAGCCAAAGAAAAGACTAAGATTCTTCTGCACACTTTTGAAACCATACTGAAAATTCAAACAGCAGTAGGGCAAAGCATGTTGGTTTTTTCAGACTCACAAAATGCAAAATATAACAACTCGGTGTTCAAGTACTCAGTAAATTAATCAGCCTTGTATTAGGACACTCTGGGCCACGTTACAGTTTTGCAGCCCTGTGCACCGAGATGGACAGCGTTATCTGCAAATTCACACGGGGTGAGAGGAGACGATCACCCTGACATACTGTGGCATTTCCCAGCTGTATCGACAGCAGGCTGGAAACGGACGCTCCTCCTGTGTGCCTCGACATGGAGGCACCAGCACTCCCTCCGCACGAGCCTGATATTTGCTGGTGCCCAGACAGCAAGGCCCCAGCTCACCGAGTCTGACTCAGTGCATTCTGCTACAGTGCCAAAAATGAGCAACTCCCGGCTCTCCAGCGGGTCAACACCGCTCCAACCTGCCCCGGACGTTGGGGGGGGGTGGGCTGGAGAACAGCCCTTCCACCGACTCCCATCTCCAGTCCTTACCATCTCCCCACAAACACCATCACAGGGCCAGCCACCTTAGACCTCAGGACAGCACCTTCTTTGCTAGACTCACTGCTGTGTGTACATAGTGTACATGTGTCAATTTCAATAGACTCGCTTAGGAATGAAGATAAAATTATGATTTAACTTCAAGTATAAATATTCGTCCCAGCAGAGTTTCCACCCCAAATTCTGGCAGTTAGAGTAGATTAGTTTTGTTTTCCTGCAGCCTGCACTTCACAGTATGGAATACACCCTGCACACTTATTAGTGCTATCACCACTGCACCACGCTGCCTTGCTGACGTGAATGGGTCAGCGCCGTATTCCAAAGAAAACTTTACCAAAGATTAAACTGTATGGACTACTTCTGAATGGACTATTAAGGAACACTAATACATTTTAATCATGCTACATCTCATGTACGAAAATGAGGTTAGAGAAACTATTAGGTCATCTCATTTTACACAGTAAAACTAACCATCAGTGCTGCAAGACGACAGTAAATGAATCAAAGTCAATTTGAGCTAAGCTAGCAAACAAACAAAAACCCCTTGAACATCTTTTGGTGAAGAACCTTCCTCCTCTCCCAGCTATGCAAAACATGCCTTCAATGAGATGCTGTGCTTGTGATGACCCAAACCCAACTGTTTTAAAGCAACATACCTACAAAAAAAAAACACCCACCTCTAAAATGCCCCATAACAATTTACATGCATCAATCTATTTTACGGGCACTCAGAGACCTTAGTTTTCTTCCTCTCTTTGCCACTGGTCTGTTGTGTGTGTGATCCTGAATAGTTGCACCTTTGTGTCATCTTCTCAGGTATAAGATAGGAATATTAATATCTACCCTCTGTTCTTAGTTGCTCTGAGATTTATGAATGAGAAGAACTAGACATGGTAAGAGGTACTGCTGTAAAAAGTGAATAATCTTTCAGCCTACAAAATTTTCATTTTCTCCATAGTGTTTATTTCCCTTGCTACTTGGTGGAAATAAATCCGAACTAGACAGAACAGTCCACAGCATATGAATCAAACTGTCTTGTTAAAAGTGAGATACTGGATTCTGCTTTTGGAGTGGTGTGTTGCTTTTTGCAGTGTCTTTGTGAGCACTGAAACAATAAAGGGTATTACAAGTTTAATCTATATCATCCCAGGGGACCTTATTTCAAATTCTGATGGGGGTCAATGGAACAAAAAAGCCATCTGGGAAGAAAAGTGGAACTTCTCAATATGGAAAAATTTAATGCAAAGTGAGCTTGATCATTCTTACCAGATAGCACTTGGTGTTAAGGCTTTATCTATAACTCATCCTGCATACATAATTAACAAAGACAGTTATGAAAAAGAAGTATCTTCTACAAAGATCAAAGGTCTATGAAAAACATCCTCTTTTTTAAAAATGTGACATCTGAATCCATGCGAAGAACAGACTGCAACGTGCACTCCATCTCACTGAAAAGAAAAACCCAAACAGCACAGAGAAACAAAATACAGTTGACTATCCATAATTTTCTCCATTTTAATTGTTTTTCTGTAGGACTAGTAATAACATTTGCTTGGAAAGAAACTCCTCTATTTTTTCAAAAATCTGTTCTATTTTATTTGACAGGAAAAACTGTTATGCTTTCTGTCTTACCTGAGGCAGAGTGCCTTTGACTAATGCAGGGATGTCTGCTTTAGAATAACCAATTGCAGCTAAGCCATCATCAACATCCAGATCAAACAGGAATTTCCGGAGCGTGTCTGCCAAAATAAGCCCCGCATCTTTGATTTTGGCAGTGCGGATGTCAGCTCCTAAAATAAGACATAATGCCTTGACTGTAGGGTGGAGAGAGCGGAGGAAGCCTGTTCTGGACTTAATTTAATCATAATGTCAGCTGAATACATATCCATACATAACAGCCACTGCCCTAGAAGCAACATGAAGTAAAAAGAGGAATCGGTCTTCGTTTTACAGTTGGAATAGTTTGTAAAAGGTGAGATAAAACACGACCAGAAGAAGCAGGTAACTGCTGCCAGAAAGACTAACTGCCAGATGAGGTTAACTTCCTCTCCCTCTGTGCTTACAGGGAGAAGCACTTTTCAGACTGACTAACTGCTGGGAGGAAAGATGCTAACGCATGAACGTCAATGGTATTTATTTTTATGGACGGTTTGCCAAATGCTGACTTTATTGTAAGGCCTTGAGTTTGCTGACATCTAGAGGACACGGAAACCACAGACTGTTCTGCTCAGCTACGCGTTCAAGGAGAGGACTAGAGCATGTAGGCCGAGAAAGACAGGAGATGGCAGGGCAGTGTTCAAGGGGGTAGGTAAACCCTAAACTTAACGCTGTTTGAATATATGCTGACTTGTATAAAATAACGTAGAAGTGAAGAGGAGGAACTGGTATCTTTGAAACATCTACTGAACTGTAATGACAGCATCATTATAAAATGAAAGATTACCAATATTTCTTACAGAACAGCTTGCTTCCCCTTCCTCAATGAACGGTCAGGACTTCTTTAAATGTAATAATTAAAACAAGTCCAGACAGATGACACAGGTTCCTCCACATGATTTCTTTCCAAAGTAAGCTGAGCTAAATTTGTTCTCTGTGTAACCTCAATGATGTTACACCAGAACTATGTTAGGTCCAAGTGCCATATTGAGAGATGAGTAAGAGCACAACACAGCTACAGGAAAAATATTTTCTGTGATCTTCACACAGTTCAGTGTAACATTCAAAGGGGGTTCCAAGACTGGAAGTACTCTAGTAGATAATGTCTGGGAGAAATTGATAAACAAGGTATGACAGAGTTTTGTATGAAGTCTTCTGCTACTGGGATCATGCCATACACTCCGAGTTCATCCTGGGGTTTGCTGTAGAGGAGTACCTGTGAGAGAAATCCAGTATCTTCAGACAGTAAAGTAAAAAGGAAAGGAAGGAGGAAAAAAAGGGACAGTAAATGTGAAAAGTAGTTTTAAAATACCAGTTCTAGTACTGTCTTTTTGCTCAACCTAAATGATACATCATTCTTTGATTGCACTTAGAAAATTTCTGGCCACATGCACACCTATTTCAACTGTTTAAGAATCCACCCAGGGAGGTATTAAGCTTTTTCTGGCTGTACCCAAATTCACAGCTGTACATACACACAACATAACTATTTAGCGATCTGCTTCATGTCATAGAATACCTTCTTAGTCATTGCATTTGGCAACATGACAGATTTGAATCAGCTACTGTAGTCAGTTGGACTCTGGACTGGAATCAGAAGTAAACACCCCAGGTGGGAATTTACAAATTCAATCCCACATGACATGTTTTTGGCCCTTTACAGCAAGGCAGACAATTATGTAGTTTAAATTTCTATTGAGAAAATTAACAGAGCTTTTAGAGACAGAATTTATGGCAGCAGTTCATACCACAAAACCTAAAGGAACTGCTTTTTGACCACTCGTTTTAAAATCAAGAAGCCTGCGTTCAAATTCTCAGATAGGCTGTGTTGGCCAGTTATCCAGAAACATTTTCTTAGTCTACTTTGAGTTGTGTGTTATTGCTGTAGGAACGCAGACATTTTTTGGCTTAATATATGATTCCGACTAGGTTTGTGTTCTGATTTTGACCACAGGCAGGACTGCATACTTTGGAGGAAGGCTGAACAAACCTCATAGCCAACATCTATAAAATAAACAGATTTTTCCCCCATTGTAGTTTTTCTGACCATGTTGTTTTACATCCTCTTTAAAATACTGTGATATTTTCATTGCCTGTATAAAAGTCCCACTCTTTCTTGAAACCCACAGTGCTTTCAGATTACTTATACAAGGAAGTCATACACGTGACTGAATTGCTGTGACTTGCATACAGAAGGCTGACCATAGAAGGGACTGAACACAAATTTTCCAAATACCAGCAGAGCTGCCTTAACCACTTTCTCTCTACTCTCTACACTGCTACGCATGTGACTGTGATTGCTCATTAGTGAGCATGGGTATTAGCAGCAGTTTAGCTACAACACAGTCTAGTGCAGATAAAAAAAATTGACCTTAGATATAAATAAATTAGCCCACCACAGAGCCATGCTGTCACAGATAGACTGCTAACAGCTCCAAGATTACACCACGGAAAGCTAGCTTATTACACACAGCCCTGCTGGGGGTGCTATGAAGAGGTATCCTTTCTCTAGGACACTTTCTGCTGATGGGTTGCAGAGATAACAAAACACTGTATGAAAAGGTAACCCTTAAATGAGCTGTCAGCTTGCAACATTTACTTGTATTCTACTAAGCAGCAGAAAAGACCACTTTGTTCATTAACCCACTTCTCAGCCATCACAGATATGTCCAGAGAATAGCTACTCCATGCTTTCCCTCGACATCAGCCACTGCGAAATTCCAACACCTACAAAAAAGTTTAGGCCTACGTTAGAAAGACCGAAACCCAGAGCTGTGTGCCACGGAAAAAGAGCAGGAGTGATCCAGAACATCACTCTGTCCTAATTCACTGCCAGAGCAGTGAATTTGTTAGAGAAAGTGCTTCCTTTTAGCTAACAGGTACACCTGAGTACTTGTTTGTTTTATGGTACCTACTCTAAAGTAACTGCTCTCCACAAAGCACCAAGAGAGATGCCAATCACAGCTACTCTCTCCTGGTTTGTAACAGATCTACAGTCAATTTCAGTTGTCCAGTTTTCTAGCCAAAAAGCAGATTTCGCCAGCTTGTTTCTCTAACTACATCAACCAATATAAAAATTTAGCTTTATTCTACTCAAGTTTGCATTATTGTGACTCAGTCAGACTCCAGAATTTTGTTTTTTAAACTTCAAAGCCCTGCAACAACCAACTACAATTGCTTGCACAGACTTCTTTTTCCTCCCCAAAAAAGACATTCTAGAAAGAATTCCACTTGTACGAGTAAGTTGTATCCATAGAGATTCTTACCTAGTATCTCTGCAGCTTCTAAGTGGCGGTCAGGATGTATCTGTGCTGTGAAAGCAAACACTGCTGGGGATGTCAGCACCACAGAAAGCCCATGTGGCTGGGAAAAAATAAAAGAAAAAAGAATAAAATCACATCAACAGGACATGCACTTTCAATTTCAGTGCGCTTTAATGCTCATTCATGTGAGATAAGGGAGAATCGAAATGTGTAATATGAAAACAAAGATAAACCAGGTTTTACCACTAAAGAGTGATCCACATTATAATCCTTTGGTTTATAAGTTTTCACCAAACCAGAAATAGGGTAAGACATTCCATGGCTGGAACAGAGAGCAGAGAGAAAGTGGTTAGGGCAGTTCTCCCGCTACTTGGAAAATTTGTGTTCAGTCCCTTGTGTGGTCAGTCTTCTGCATGCAAGTCCCTTGGGTACAGATACGCGAAAGGTATTTAGGTACAGGTATGGTATGGATATTAGGTACAGACAACCCTCACTCCTCTGCACCTTAGGGACCTAGATGTAAAAAACAGTACCTCCTTACTTTCTGAGTTACTCCACTGACTGGACAGAAAGTTGCTCAGTGACTGCAGTAATACAGATATGCCAAACATAGCACAATCTGCATCTCTACCTGATCACACTGCCTGAGAAAAATGAACATTAATTTTAAAGTATAATTAAATAGTGGATTTGCACAAACAAAAGGAATGCAAGGAAGGTCTCTGAAGAGAATGACTGCTAATAACTTCTCCACATTGTTCAGGCTATGCTTTGCTTCTCTGAGATTTTCACCCAGATGAAACTACATTGCCTTGCAATATTCATTACAGCTCATTTCAGCCTGCTGAATGCCTACCCCACAGACAAACTTACAGACAATTGCATCAGTTCAGGAATGGCACAAGATTACCTCATTGGTACCTCAGTGCAGAACAGTAGGCATGAAATTCAACGTTTTAAATGCCATTGAATTTTTTTTTTTCCTAACTATGGTTTTTACTACCCAGGAAGGTAAAGAAGGCCATGTTTTGTAATTTTCACGATTGGATTTGAGTATCACAAGCCAGAATACACAATCCTCATATGCACAAATGCCAAGAGCCCATCAATTTCTCACAACACATGGCTGCCCCTGCATCACAGGCCAGGCTACAACACCTTGTTATATATTTAGCAACAAAGGCAGCAATGTCTTTGAAACAAACACTAGCTAGAAGCTGACCTTGAATGGGGTTAACATTTTTCTGTACTCACCAGAGATGAACACCAGCGTTGCCAAAGCCAATACCAGCAAAAGCACTTGCTAGGTGCATGTTGGCTCTTGCCTCACGGTCTTCAGGGTTTCTGATGGCTCTGTGCATGACGCAGACAATGGTACCAGTGAATTCACAAATGGATTGGTAATTCAGGATGGAGAAGGGAGAGAGGGCTTCTTTACAGACAGATATACAAAAAAATCTAAGATAAGCTGAGACAAAAATGCTGTAAATAGGATCAAGTCACACTTCAGCCAGAACAATCTTGCTTCTGGATCAGTAAGTAGATCAAATTGGTTCAGTGAAGGGCAAGTTTCCTTTCACTTTTCCAAAAACTGAGTAAATATAGTGTATTTAGCCATATGTACCTCAGTGGCGGTTTAAACAATTCTACTTAGGAGCTTTGGCAATCCTATGTATGGGTCCAAGATCACTCCACTTTCTCATTAGGTGGTGGTCTGGACTCCGCCACCTGCGCAGGAAGAGGACAGGGCTCCTTGCCTTCCTGCACATCACACTGTGTGTGTAGTTTGACAACATGGAGAAAAAGTCTGATGAACAGACTCCACAGGCACAATAAATAACTACTGTGACTAGCTAGGTACTGTATAAAGTCTTTTACAAAAAAACCCCACATTGACCTTTAATAGAAGTGCATATGGTATACAAAAGCTGTATGCAGGCTAAAACTTTACTGGTAGGGATCAAAACCAACTCCCAGTTAACTCAAAACTTAATCTAAATTAAAGGTTTTCTAAGTATGGACTAATTTTCAGTAAATGCATTTGTAAGTGCACGTGGCTACATTCTTGATGGACGTGTAAGTATCTTAATTTGCACTGATGGTCGCAGAAATTACACCAGCAGTATTTCATTCAGTTTGTTACATATTCCCCTTATACTGTCATAGAAAGAGGATTCTTGAAAAAATACGTGAATGCTGCGCCTGTACTAGCGAGCAGCTTGAAACACCTTTAACTGAGGACTTAAAACATACATTCAGCGGCATTAAAAAGCTACCTCCTCAAGATAACCTAGTGACCCTAATTTTACTTACACTTCTATATGACAAACTTTTTCCTTTATTTTAAGAGAAATCCAGGGTAGAAAATGAAGGTTTAATGCAGCAATTTGCATTATTTTTGCATAAAATTCAAGTTCTAAGCATCTGAAGACTGAACACACTGTGAGGGGGGTGGCTGTTGAACGCATTACCTTTTCAAATATTTAGCCACAATGCGCAGAGCATGAAGAGCCCAGACATCACTGACGGGGTTGCTGCCTTGGTAAGCTGGTCGGTTAAATACTGACATATTAAAAAACAAATTATTTAAGTGGGAGAGCTCCATTTTACTGCCTTGTTATCCTTTGAATGCAGGTTCTTCTTATTTATTTCTGGTGTTTAACAGTTGCCGGAAATAGAAATACAATCTCATAGACAGCTGGGAGAATGCTGGGCAGGCACCTCCAGAGCGCCTTGCTCTCCAACAAACACAGAGAAGGCAATCCAAACACAGTCACAATCTACCAGCTCACACCATGCTCAAAGGGAGGTGGACGAACTGGCATCTTGGGGTGTAATGCTTTTCACTGAAGGGCACTGTGCACCTGCAGTGGATGCATTTCCTTTCTTTAGGACAGGAACTGTAAGAGGCGTTAGCAGTGGAAGCATTACAAATTACCCTTCTTAAAGTATTGACCTTTAAAGAATTAGGAGTATGATATTTAAACTAAGTGGAACCGCCCACAGTCTCATCTCCCAGATACTTGTGAATCTGACTACATAAAGAAGGGGCACTGCCTCCACTGATACATTTAGATGTACAAAACTACAGACAAATAATTTTTATCTGTTAACAAATGCCTCAATTCCATTACACACATTGTAGCTCAGGATACTACACCAAGCTTGAGAAATCACTCAGTTTCATTATACATCTATTACTTTAATATATACAGCACACAGAAGCAAGGTAAGTTCTGGCCCTCAGAACAGAAACTTCCATGCACTTTGTGCAGTTGAAAGCTGTAGGTTTAAGATGAAGAAAATGTTGTGCCAAGTGAAAAGTACATTACGGGAGAGGTTCTGAAGGTGGTCATAATTGGGCTAAGACTTGCTAGCATCCCACAAGCCTTCACAAATTTTTATTGACACATCATTGCTTTTATTAGAAAATCCTTGTTCTCTGTTCCCTGCCATATCTGTGAGACATGCTAAACGCTGTCGCAATTGTGATTAATCATCTACACGATCTCTTAAAAAGTGACTTCTGGACCCTCTTCTCTGACAACAACCATCCTGGAAGCAAACAGTTTCTCCAGTGCACTTCAAAAACATTAAAATTTCTGCAAATGAGTGATTTGTTTCCATATATTCTGAAGGAGGCAGTGAAATAAAGAAGAAAGTGTAATGGAGACCACCCTAACAAGAACAGCAAAAGGAGAAAAAAAGAAGACAGCTCTTTTCTGCTCCTAGATTGTATTTTTTCTACAATCACAGTAAAAATACAAAACTGTAATACATTCAAGTAGCAGCCTACACAGAAAACTCACCAAAGCACATCAAAGCCACTGTTGGCTACTATTCGCTCAGGCATAGAGAGTGTGTGTAAAGGATCAATGATGCCTAATGTTGGCTTAATGGCTCTTGAAGCAATACCTGCAGTATGTAAGCGAGGAAAATGAAATAAGTATTTTTTTTTTCAACAAAATAAGACAAGACAAGTTAAGGTTCAAAACATAACAATGAGGGGAAATTATTTGAAACTATGAAGATAAAAGCAGAGAGAGATGGGAGAGTAAGAAGTATCTATGAATCTAAGACTTACTGATGATGAAGTCCCTGTGGGAGAGTTCAACGATTTGAGACTGTTGCCTGAAGTGAATTACACCAGGCAATGTTCTCTTTCCATTTGTAACCCTCCTTGAGCAGCCTGTACTTTCAAAATGTCTGTGCTGAATGGCATCTGCAACATATATTCTTAGATTTGCATCTTCTGTGAACAATCTGAGGGCAAGACTGGTTTGTGTCTACAATTGTTGTTGCTAATTGCTGTCTTCAGCATCTGTAATAAGCATGCCTTCATACTTTGGCTAAGAGGGCACAGATGTAGCTTTGAGAGAGAAACAGACAGACAGACAGACAGACACAGACTGACGACTAGAAAACTCTGAGCTATGGTCAGAGCTCATTAGCACACCCATTTGGGTCCCACGTAACTGTAGACTGTGTGGCATATAAAATCTACACATTTAGAACTAAAACCTCAAAACAGCTATGAAGCTTAGGATGACATTCTAGCCTTAATCTTTATTTGCCAGGGATGAAAAGACCAAAGGAAGACAGTGCCCCTCACTTGCACAGCATCCCAGGCCTGAGGTTTCAAAAGTCAGGAAAAGGAACATTTGGTTGCAATTACATAACAAAGAAACAGAAGTCTTAAAAGCAGAAAGAAAAATATAGAGGAAATAAGGAACAGTTGGTTGACCCTGAATATAAGTAGAAATTTCCTTTGCAATTAACATTTTCTGCCATTTAAGAACTTGAAAGATTTCAGTTTCCTGTTTTGCCTTCAAACTATAATCCACTGTATTACATAGGTATTTCATTATGTTAATATGCTATAAATTTAATTCAAGGAGGAAACCTTTAAGCTCTTCAAATTTGCCTATGGCATTTGAATCAAACAAAATGACACCTGAAATGACATCCAGTACCTCTTTCTTTCAAGGCAGGGAAATAATGAAGACATTGGAAAAGCAATTGTCTTGAATGGCAGAGAAAAATAACCACCTTACCAGTTTTCACTTTTAGTTCTTTGAAGTCAAAAATGGCAACACCAGTGGTTTCACTTCCAGTTCCAGCTGTTGTAGGAACTTAAAAAGGAAGAATGCGGATAACAACAAATATTAAGTAATACATAATATTGCAAAATAAATAAATAAACACACAATAGTAACGCCACCAAAAATACAGGATCCAGGAAATCTTGGAGCTAACCCTGATCCAAAGACAACAAGTCAAAGAGAAACTGCCACTTTACTTCCTTTAATGAGAAGATAGATCAAACAGCTAAACAAGACAAATTAATGACAAAAACTGTGATTATCTTTCCACTGAAGTAAATAGCAAAATTGCTGCTGAATACAACTAGAGAAGAAGTAAGCCCAAAGGAAGCTGAAACAGTCATGGTACACTGATTTCAGTAAAAATATCGCACAGGGTGTAGAACGACTCCCCTTCTCCTAGCCCTCACTCTCCCCTCTGCCCAGGTTTACCTGCAATAAGTGGCTTGAGGGGCACAGTGACAGGCTTCCCTTTCCCAATCGGAGCATTGACATAATCCAAGAAGTCTGATGTAGGGCTGGATGCATACAGGTTAGCAGCTTTACAGGTGTCTATCACAGACCCACCTCCAACAGCAACATAGGCATCAAACTCTCCTTTTTTAGCAAATTCAATGGCGTCCAGGAAGCTTGGAAGACAAGAAAAGCCTTTCAGTTAAGAGAAAAAAGCACAAAGAGAAACTTCACTATTAAGACCAGCGTACAGGTCACAGGGAAGTGTTTAAACAGCTGTATGGCATGCTGTCAGAGCCTAGGCACTACTTTGAGGAGCGCGCTGTCAGAAGTAGTACCTTTGGTCTGTTGGTTCCACCCGGACACTATCATACATCTGAAAGTTTATACCATATTTTGCCAAGGAACTCAATACTGCATTTACAGGAGGGAGCTGGGAGAGGTTTTTATCTGTCATCAAACAAACTCTTCTAGCACCAAGATTCTGCAGGTCCTACAGTAACAATGAAATTAAAAAACAAACAACTGGTATAAAAACATACAATGAACTACTTAAATACTAATCCAAATCAACTGGATGATTTAATAACAATAAAACACCCAAGCTAAAAATTGTTGGTTATTGTAAAATTTTTCAAACTGTATCGGCTAAAGAGGATTAACCACATACATATAGGATGCAGAAAACAGCATAAAGCTGCCAAACTTTTACAGTGGAAGTCTTGTGACAGAAGAAAACTAATGATAAAGATGTTGAACAAGTGAAACCCATGTGAAACCACCTAAGATTACAGTAAAAAAAGAGTAAACTCTTTTTTGGAAATATTTTTTCCCTACACTTCCTGTAACATACAAAGGCTTTTCCACAGGTTAGGTCTCCCCTAACCACCTACCAAAGCACTGCATTAAAATCCTGAAAATTTAATCTTGAATATTAATTTATTGATGAAAAATCAAAATAAGTTGGCAAAAAGAAGAAAAAAAATACATCCTAACATTTTAACATTAAAAAACAAACAACTGGTATAAAAACATACAATGAACTACTTAAATACTAATCCAAATCAACTGGATGTTTTAATAATAATAAAACACCCAACCTAAAAATCGTTGGTTATTGTAAAATTGTAATTGTAAATTGTAAAATAACAATTGTAATTGTTATTGTAAAATTTATTGATGAAAAATCAAAATAAGTTGGCAAAAAGAAGAAAAAAAATACTACATCCTAACATTTACTAAATTAATTGTCACAATAGCTATATAATACATGCAATTCTAAACAATCCTAACGCTGTTTTAAGACAGTTCTGTCTAACTTCATTTACTATCTATTAATTTACTTCGCAAACTTGTAAATAAAACAAGAGAACTGTTAATTCCATAAATGCCAAGAAGAGAGGAAAAAATGATAAATGAAAAAAACCCGATGATAAAGGCAAACTGGAACAATGTACTCAGGTGCAGCATTTCGCACTGCTGAAACAAAAATTCTGCACTTTCACAGTGCAAGCTCAGAGCTGAACAAATATCCACCTAATTCAATGGAAAGTGTCTGATTCATTTCAATGAGCACTAGAAGAGACGAAAGTGATCTTGAGAAGATCCTGGTGAGTCACCAGGATTCAAAACTTTTTGAATTAAATTCCCTGTCAGAGAAAAATACTGTTGCATAATCCTAGCAAATTATCAATGATCTAATTATCCACTAAGCTGCATTTCATGTACTCACACCACAGCAACACTGATGTAACACTCTTCTGCTCTTTACCCAACAGTATTTTCTGATCTTTTTACACTGGTATACACGACTACACATCCTGCAAGGCAGTGAAGATTCAGATACATCGTATATAAGCTTTCCCTTACACAGTGGACTGATAGCACCAGCTGCCCTTTAGCACATGACTTTTCACCAGTGATGGACATACACTATGGAAGCTTACCATGCCAATCTCTTTAGTAACTCCTTCTCCATATCGGATGTTTGAAATAGCCATCTACAAAAAAGAGAACATATTTGTCTGGAAAAACGAAGAAGTGACAGCCAGTCCCAAGCAGTCAAAGTGAAACATAAATACTTACTAATGTAAACATTCGTTAAATGCCATATTTGGAAGTATACAAAATACTACTTTTAGATCAAATATAATCTACCTCAAATGCATAGTCTGTATTTCCCAAGGTAGGCCGTTCAGCAACTGGAATGGAAATGAAACAGTAAAATCAGGGAACAGAAAACAACTCGAATCTGAATCTCAATACTAGAGTTGACCGACTCCTTTGCTTTTAAAATCACTAATACATTTGCACAGGTCATCTTGGCTTGTCTGGGTAACCGCTACCCATTTCATCCGTTGTTGTATGTGAGATTCAATGATACAAGTACTTAATTTGATTAATATAATTCAGCAAAACAAGTGTGGGGTTTTTTTTCCTTCTTTGAAGAATTAATTCTTACCTATAAAAATTGAGTAAGTTAGCAGGAAGTTTGCATGAGAATTTGCTTGCAGTCTGTAAAGGCCAGAACAGTACATAGTAAGTAGAACTGAGTATCCGCAGAGCACACAGGCTGCTACGTGGAGGCTGAGAGGTGTTAGAAATGTGTAGTGGCTACATGATAACCTCCAGAACAACTTCTCAGGCAAATCCACGAGACATCCTCCATATGCACCCAGACAGAGAACATCTTTTGTACGTGTGACAGAGTAATACTAACAGGTGTTTACACTTCTTTTTACTTCTGTCTAGTCCTGAACTTGCAAGTGAAACTCAATTTCTTGCTTGAAAATTCAGAAACTGCATGCATTGTTAATAACAGTCTTAATAAGAATAGGTGTGTCAATATCAACTTTATTTAGTAGAAAAGATATCTATAAGAATAGTATTTCAGTCACATCCTCTCTCCACCATGTCATTCTTGCATGAATTACCACAAAGCTCTGAATTTCTTGCATATCTTGATTTTGCCACAAAGTGAAACAAACTGCATCAGTTGAAACAGCCCATTCTTCTCCAAGAAAAGATCAGATGAGGCATTCTGCTCTTCCTG